TATTATATGATTGCTACAGCACTAATAGCTGTGTTTTACTAGTTGACTCTTTTAAAAAATTTACATTAAAATCACCACATAATATAAATTCAATTTTTGGTTTATACAGTAATTTGAGTACTTTATCCACCTTATTTATAAAGTACTCAAAATTCCCCCAAGGTGACACAGTACAAATATGTTAGTTTTAGCTAAAGAAATCTTAAGTGTACAAATTTCTATGTTCTTTTCATCACAGAACTGTGCTAGATTTATAGCATTAAATTTTATATCAGATCTTATATATATACAAACACCTCCTCCCTGATGAGTCGTACGGGCATACTTTGTTCCCAATAAATAGCTCTGGAAATTGCTGCAAATAATTTTTGGTCAGACATGTGATGCTCAGATAGGCATATTAAGTGAGGATTTATATTATTACTAACTATTGAACACTTCAATTCATCAATTTTGCCTTCAAGACTTCTGGTATTTTGATGTACAAGAATTAGAGAGTCTTTAGTATAATTACACTTATTGAAAAGAGACTTATTTGATTTTACTCCCATAAAAAATCCTCATTTCTGATAGGTGGACTTCTTTTTCTTCTATTACTATGCTCTCTTTCCCGATCAAGGATTGTTTCTGTTATTGCAACAGGATGCTGAAATACAGAATTCACATTATGGCATGGAGTTACCAGAACTGGTTTTAGTGTGAGACTGGGAATCAGTTAAGTTTTGTGCCACTTCACATAAATTACAAATTGTGTCTCGTTAGTATAGTCTTCAGTCTTTACCTCTGATTCACATCTCAAAGATACATTCAGAAAAGCCATTTTCAATTTCTGAATTCATAGTAAATGCACCCTTACCTTTGAATGGGAAGAGTATGTGCTGGGTTTCTGGATCATGCATTTTAGTTGGTGCATGCAGAATGAATATAGGGTTCATCTGTATAAATTATCCAAACTTTCTTAAAAAGTTCAGCATTCTGTCACATATGGTGGGATTTTTGGTGAGGGCTCTTCTTTTCTGATTTCTTATGAATAAATTTAAAACTTTTAAATGTTTTAATTGTTTTAATGTAAAACTGAGAATTCCAAATAGGATATAGAGGGTTCTGATGTGGTCTATAACACTTAGAATTACTGGTTTTTTGGACTTTTCCCATTGTCCAATATTCTAAAAACTAGAGAACACAACGTTTCAGAAACTGGATCTGATTCCCTCCTCAGGTGAGGGGGAGAGAAATACTCTGTTGGGGCCCTTAGAGAAAGGTAACCTCAATCCAATGTGTTCTCTAGTTTTTAGAATACCAAACAATGGACAGAGTCCAAAAACCCAGTATTTCTGAGTACAAATAGGATGCACACCATCTGTAGTGTGGAACCCATTTATTGTTTCTCTTATTACATACTTATCATAATCATAGATTTTGGTTTTAGTATTCACCTCAACCTTGTTGCATGATATGAATGGGTTTCTTTCACTTCTATCATATACTCTTCTATAGCCTGCTTTAACATTGGCACAAGAAACATACATAGCTTCAGCATCTCTGTTTTCGAATTGTTCATTCGTTTCCTCCCTCATGAATAAATATACATTATTAGTATTATTTCTGTACTCAGACTTCTTCTTCTTTCAAAGAATTTTCTTCTCTCCACACATCCTTGGCATGTTCCTTACTGTCAGTGTGTGTATCATCTCTGTTAACTAGGGGACTCTATAGCAGGTACAAATTAACTGATGGAAAATTTACCCCAGGTGCTGACGGCACATGCTTCTTGCATATTAAGATGGAGCTTCATGTAAATCTGTATGAGCAGTAATTGGGCCAGGATTTTTTTATGTAGTATTGTGAAATCTTGTATACTAGACAACATATGCCATGTCATGTATGCTTGGGGACTTTATGTAGATACCTTTTTGGTTCCTTGACAGTCTTAATGGTTACATTTAAAATGTGAATTTACATGTAAATATGAACAATGTATAAATCATGTTAAGATTGTTAACTGCTGGAAATATGTCATCTTATCTGTGCATTGCCCACAGCAGCTGTGAACACTGCTGATTTAATATTTTTTATCATAATAATGTGACATACAGACAGAGGGGGCAAATGTGTATAAGGTTCACCCAGATTGAAAGGTCAAAGTTGTACACAGATGTAGAACTGGTGCAGAACATGAATGCCATAAAGAAAAACACAGAAGTTCTAATTAAGGTTAGTAAGATAGTTGGTCTAGAAGTAAACACAGAGAAAGCTAAATATAGGTTGATGTCATGTCACCAGAATGCAGGTCAAAATAATAACGTAAAGGTAGCAAATAGATCCTTTGAGAATGTGGTGAAGTTCAGAAATTTGGTGGTGAAGTTACAAATCAAAATTTGATTCATGAGCTCATTAAGAGCAGATTAAATTCAGGTAATGCTTGTTACCATTCAGTTCAGAATCTTTGTCTTCTCATCTGTTGTATACCAATGTAAAAGTTAAAACATAATTTTTTTTTATTTCGCTTAGTGGGTGGTGGAGTCCAACTGGGTCCGCTCGGCACAGCAGCCACTGATTGGCCTGTTGTAGCCTGCCCTGGGTGATTATGATGATGGAGAATTTGCTGGAATGAAGATTGACAGGGGAAACCGAAGTACTGGGAGAAAAACTGCCCCAGTGCCACTTTGTCCACCACAAATCCCACTTGACCAGGCCCAGGATCAAACCTGGGCCGCCACAGTGGGAAGCTAGCGACTAACCGGTTGAGCTATGGCGCGGCCTCAAGTCAAAACATAACTGATTTTGCTTGTAGTTTTGTGTGGGTGTGAGACTTGGTCTCTGGCATTAAGGGAAGACTGAGGGTATTTAAGAACAGGGTGCTCAGTAGAATATTTGAACCGACGCAGGCTGAAGTGGTAGAATGTTGGAGAAAACTGTATAGAATGATCAAATCAAGGAGGATGAGATGGACAGGGCATGTACTGTGCATGAAGGCAAAGAGGAATGCATATAAGATTTTGGTAGGAAAGTCAACTACGAGGGTTGTACTGAAAGTCATGAGCAACAATTTTTTGTAAAGTAACATGCTTTATTATTGACAAACCAAATACACCACCTCAATCTACAGACCTTTCTTTATTTTTCCACATAATCGCCACTTCTTTGTACACATCTGGGAGTTTGAAAATTTTCCTTCTGTAAAATTCCGTTCCAGCCTTCCGAAGACACAGATGCACTGCTTTCTGAATTGCCTCCCATGTCTCAAAATGTTCACGCAGCTAATCCTTAACAAATCCAAAATGGTAGTTAGAGGGTGCCAGATCAGGGCTATAGGAGGGATGTGGAAGAACTTCCCATCCACTCTTTGCAGTTGCTTCCCATGTGAGGCGAGTGGCATGGGGGCGAGCATTGTCATGCAGGATGATGATGTTTCGTCCCGGATGTTTATCGCGCAATGTACGACGGAGCTTGTGCAGCATCTGTACATAATGAGCAGCATTGATGGTTTTCCCAGGTTCCAGGAATTCGCCAGAATAAACCCCTCTGCATCCCAGAAAATTATGGCCATCACCTTCGCAGCTGATGGCACTGTCTTTGCCTCCTATCTGATGGAGAAAGCAAATGGTGTCATTCCATACTCTGCCGTTTCGTTTCAGGCTCGAAATGGTGAAACCAGCTTTCGTCACCTGTCACAATACAGAGCAAAAAATCATTGCCTTCGTGTCAGTATCTCTGCAGCAGTTCTGAGGTGATGGCTTTTCACTGACCTTTGTGGTCTTCGGTCAATAACTGCAGGACCCAACGAGCACAAACTTTCCTATAGCCCAAGCTTTCAATCATCTCCTGTACTGCACTGTGCCCTGTTCCAAGTTTTCGGGCTATTTTGTCCACAGTCACATGCCTATCATCTTGAATGATCTCATCCACTCTTTCCTTGTTGCGTTCAGTTGAGACTATTCGGGGACGACTGCTCCGAGGCTCATCTTCGATGCTCATGTTCCCATGTTTAAAATTTTTCACCCATCTTTGAACACTGCTCGCACCCATGCACACACTTCCATAAGCACGCTGAAGTCTCTGCTGAATTTGTGCACCAGGGATTTCCTCTTTCACAAGAAATTCACGCTGGCGAAACGACATGTTGTCAGCCATTTTGTTAGGAGTGATACTGGTCACGTGATGCAAGCTATTGACATCACAAGACACTCAAGGTTAACACAACAGCTGGATCCACCTACCACCATACTCTCTTTCATCTGTTGTTCCCAGGTTGCATGCAAAAGAAAGTTGCTCATGACTTTCGGTACGACCTACATATGAGACCTAAACATAAGTCCAAAGATATTAAGATGGATCTTAGACACATTTGGGTGGTGTGGACTGGATTCATTAGACTCAGGGTAGGGACTAGTCATGGGCTGTTGTGAATGCAGTATGAACCTTCAGGTTCCATAAAATGTTGTGAAATTCTTGAGTGTCTGAGCAACTGGTGGCTACTCAGGTACTCAGCTCTGTGGAGATGGATGGATGGATGGATGGTCGGAGAACTTCACATGTTTCTCCTTCCATTACATGAAGCATGATATAGTAGCATGCATAATACTTCATAAGTTCCCACTCAGTTCATGAAACTGCTGTGGTAAATGTATTTATGGAATTGTTATTAGGCAGTATGAACTCTTTTGACGCAACTAAAATATTAACTGTGCAGTTAAATGTCACCTGCTAAGTATCACAAAAACTGCAAGATAGGGTGCTGACATTTTTCAAGAATACTATTTTCTATAGATTGTACAAGATCACCAACTTTGATTGAAATTGGAGAAGGTCAGGTTGTGGTCTGTGATGATTTGTTGTGGAATGTCTGATTGGTTTGTTCTGTATTGCAAATTAATCTGTAAGTGTATTGAATATTTGTACAAATTCCAGTGATATGATGACATGAACTGTAAGTCACCATAATTGACTGGGCCATATCTCATAATTTTATGTTTAGCAATGCCTTTTTTCTCTTCTAGACTGGAGATCCATCTAAAAGTTCTCTGAAGCTTTATGAGACCAAGGTTCAAGGCCATTCTGATAAGTTTTTTTGGCGAATTGAGATGAAAGATGCTCTGAAGCATGGAGAGACAGCTGTTGTAAGCTATTTATTTTATTTTCAGTGTATTAATAAAACACAAGCACTTGCCTCTTTTGTTGATATAGAATTTAACTTAACCAAATTAGTGAATTAGTGAATAATTCCTGGTTCCAGGTAGCTACGGCACCTCTTGGTTACATTGTTGATAAAAACACTACTTTGAATATTTTTCTAAGTTTTTATAAATTTATGTGTGAAAAATTTTTAAATTTGCAGTTTATAGTTCCTGTTCCATCATATAGTTTCCAGATTCATCTGATGGCTAAACTAAACCCTCTATGTTGAAACTCTCATCAGTCCTTGGGGAAATTTGTGATGGGTGTGCCTATTGATCTGCAATCAGTCATAGCCAATGCTCATGTATTTTGGAGACTCTCCGCATTGGGGTTATAGTAAACACCTTACTCCAGACATGTGTTCATTGATGTTTTGTATGTGTTCTACATTCTTTATCAAGAACCTGTTCTTTTTTTGCAAATCACACTGATGAATAATGTTTCAGATGCAGAAGTAGCTATTTAAAGATATCTTCTGTCATTGTATGAAATTTCTGTGGAAACCCCCTCCATGCACACACAGATTGTCACATGTTAGAGTGACTCTCAATGGGGTTTTGGATAATTGGATTTATTGCCCACTTACAAATATTAACTCAGGCTCCACTCGTCGTTTTCTGGTAACATATTTTAACACTGTCCACATACATGCATACCATCTGGCACATACCCCGCAACCCCACTAAGTTCATAAGTGTACTGGTAGGCCTAACCTACTTTGTCTTAAGGAAGCTGATTTGTATTTTCGTAAGTATACAGTAGGCCTAACCTACAAGGAGTGTGTTATTTTATATCTTAAGGAAGTCGATTTTCACAAGTGTTATTTATATCTTACATAAGTTGTTTGTATTTTCGTAAGTATACAGTAGGCCTAACCTACAAGGAGTGTGTTATTTTATATCTTAAGGAAGTCGATTTTCACAAGTGTTATTTATATCTTACATAAGTTGTTTGTATTTTCGTAAGTATACAGTAGGCCTAACCTACAAGGAGTGTGTTATTTTATATCTTAAGGAAGTCGATTTTCACAAGTGTTATTTATATCTTACATAAGTTGTTTGTATTTTCGTAAGTATACAGTAGGCCTAACCTACAAGGAGTGTGTTATTTTATATCTTAAGGAAGTCGATTTTCACAAGTGTTATTTATATCTTACATAAGTTGTTTGTATTTTCGTAAGTATACAGTAGGCCTAACCTACAAGGAGTGTGTTATTTTATATCTTAAGGAAGTCGATTTTCACAAGTGTTATTTATATCTTACATAAGTTGTTTGTATTTTCGTAAGTATACAGTAGGCCTAACCTACAAGGAGTGTGTTATTTTATATCTTAAGGAAGTCGATTTTCACAAGTGTTATTTATATCTTACATAAGTTGTTTGTATTTTCGTAAGTATACAGTAGGCCTAACCTACAAGGAGTGTGTTATTTTATATCTTAAGGAAGTCGATTTTCACAAGTGTTATTTATATCTTACATAAGTTGTTTGTATTTTCGTAAGTATACAGTAGGCCTAACCTACAAGGAGTGTGTTATTTTATATCTTAAGGAAGTCGATTTTCACAAGTGTTATTTATATCTTACATAAGTTGTTTGTATTTTCGTAAGTATACAGTAGGCCTAACCTACAAGGAGTGTGTTATTTTATATCTTAAGGAAGTCGATTTTCACAAGTGTTATTTATATCTTACATAAGTTGTTTGTATTTTCGTAAGTATACAGTAGGCCTAACCTACAAGGAGTGTGTTATTTTATATCTTAAGGAAGTCGATTTTCACAAGTGTTATTTATATCTTACATAAGTTGTTTGTATTTTCGTAAGTGTACAGTAGGCCTAACCTACAAGGAGTGTGTTATTTTATATCTTAAGGAAGTCGATTTTCACAAGTGTTATTTATATCTTACATAAGTTGTTTGTATTTTCGTAAGTATACAGTAGGCCTAACCTACAAGGAGTGTGTTATTTTATATCTTAAGGAAGTCGATTTTCACAAGTGTTATTTATATCTTAC